ACACAGAGAGAGAGAGAGAGAGAGAGAGAGAGAGAGATTCTATTGGTAAAGTCGAATATATTGGTAGTTTCGCTTACTATTGCCTCTTCGGTGTTCTTCTGCAAGCAAGAGTGAAATGCCATATTGTCATCCTTGTTGACGAAAACATGCAGGGCAGTGTCCAGGTCATCTAGCCGAAGAACCTGCATATTCTGTAAGAAAATACTAATGTGGCCGATGAACCGTATATACATTTATTGTTGTAGATTTTGTTATATTTTTCCACAGACTTGATCAAGTATAGAAAAAATTGACTTGGAGCAACGGTAGAACTTCAGTTCAACTAATTTGTAATGGAGGAAGTACCAAGTTAATTTCTGCAACCAAAGCTTCGACCGTGTGTTGATTAAGCTCATTTGGGTAGAGTTCTCTGGAACCGCCAGCGGTATCTGCAAGATTGCAAGATGCATTTCTCAGATAAAGTCCCAGCTTTGCTTTTGTACCTCATTGAACTTTATTCTAAATATGTCACTTTTCCTTATCATTACAAATTGATTGAAGTTCTAGTGTTGCCGACCTTGCGTGTTTTGGCGCCTTTTTGCTGACCTTGAGAAAACAATAATGTCTTGTGGGTTGGCAACCTACAGCGAAAAGTTTGTAAACAAATAAACTATACAGGTAGTACTACTACTAACAAAAAAGGGGATCATATCATGAAGTTCCCTCATAGTCCTTGAGATACCTTCCCAACATACTTCTGACCGAACCGTTGTGGGTGTATTGTTAAGAACCCAGTGTAGTCCACCTGCAGGATAAGATGAAGTCTTTCATTTGAGAATCCTGGAGAGATAACTGGACATAACTATCAGAATTCTGAAGTGACCTGATTTCCTTACCTTTATCCTAACAAGTGGAAGTTTGGGCTCTGATCCACTGCCTGCTGTTGTGTCATTCTTCTCAATAAGATTGGCCACCTAAAGCAGCTCAGTCAGTAGCTGGTATGAGTAATTAGAGAGTAAAGTTATGAACAATCAGCTCAGTCGACCAATGTTTGGCCATGTTTCTGACAAAGAAATGGACAAAGTTTGTAGGACAGCTTATGGAGTTGAAGACCTACTACTTTATCCAAATGTGCGTCCACAGATGCTTCATCATTGGCGTCGATGTCAGCTTGGTCTTCTAACACAACCTGAATTGCATTCTCATGATGAGATTGTCACCGAACTAAACATGAAAGCATGGATTGGCTTACCTCGGCATATTCAAAAGGTCTAACAGTCTTCAGAGGTATATTAGTTGGCCTGTATTTCATTCCCTATGGAATCGAACATAGGAAATGGTGATGGTTAAATAAGCAGGTTGCGGAAGGTTTTACTTTTATTAAATCCGTGATTTTTGGAAACATATTTACGTTTATTTCCAACAAAAGAACATGCTTTTGTTTTGCTTCAGCACTGGTCATCGATGTGGCAATTGAAGATCCTGGCTGCGTGATGTGGAAACCCATTCCAGGAACCTCCTATAAGTAGTTTATCAGAAGTAGTTAAATGAAGAACGATAGACAGAAGCCGTAAAAAAAAACGATTGACAGAATGAAGAACATTACCTTGGGATCAACAAGGCATTCATGCTCATGGCCCCATATTACTAAATCCAGAAAGTTTGGTAATAGACGTTCATTGATGCCGTTGTCTGGACTTCCATTTATCCTGACAGTAGTACATTAGCAAGAGTTCAAAACCCGGTTTAATAAACAACTGTCGTCGGAGATCGACCGATCAGTTCAATCACTTTCTCGTACCTGTTCTGATGAAGAACCAGAATGTTGAACCAGTCAGACAGTGATATATCCTCTGTACTCTCATGTTTCATCCAACCTATTGCACCTGGTGTCTGAATAAGAGCATAAGATGCAATATATCAGCCCGGGTGTTTCGCCACAAGAGTGTGCCACCGCCAATTCTTCTCCAAAATATATTGCTTGACAGCTTGAGGCCAACCTATGGGTTATGGCGGGTGCTAAGAAACTAGGGCGTATTGTTGTACGAGAGTAATTTTCATGCCGTTTCTGTAGGGACACTGTAAACTGTCAAACTCTATCCTCTTATTTAATGGATGAGGCAAATCTTTTGCCTCCGTTTTGAAAAAAAAAACAAGTTAACCAACCACCCCGGCTGCGACAATTGACCATTTTACACTGAAATATACCTGAAACATTCTGCTTAATCTTGCATCCCTAACGTTCCCCAAGCCATATAATGCGACAGAAGTTGCACCCTGAAGTAGCACAAAGTGCCGGAGCCAGTTAGTAACATGTACTTGGCATTGTACAGACTACATAATGCATAGTTGGTTGTAATAACATCTTATATTATGGGACTGGGGAGTAGCAAATTGACCTTTTTGATAAGTATAGGATGAATTGACATGTGACCGACGCCAGAACCGCCAAGATCCATCTTTCCAAAGTAATTCACTAAACCGGTCGCAGCAAGGACATCGATGGCGGACATATTATCCTGTGGTAGGCACGTGATGGAGAAAAAAGTGAAAGGTTGAATAAAATGAATTTATAAATTTAACCAATACCTATCCTGTGCAGATAAAAATCCCATATATAACTCTGGATATGAAAACATACCACTCCTGTAGGATCATCATGGTCGCCATGGATGGTGAACACAGGCAAGCCAACGTTGATGTTTTGGTCCTCAAAATTCGGTCGACCAAACCTGAAGCATGCATGCATGCAAACTTGGAATCAATGAGAGAAAGAATATACACTGTCCAGAGTTCAGCCGTCGATTAGCTACGTGACTGGGTAGCTGCTGCTAGCTGATTGGTGCAAGTAAGTACACGTACAAGTTCTGCAGGCTGGCTGCATGATCACTGACCACCTGGAACTGGACCGGCCGGTCGTGGAGGCAGCGCCGCCTCAGGATCTCGATCGTCTTCACCAGCGTCGAGCGTGACGGCTTGTTCTCGTGGAACAGATTGCCACCGAGAAGCAGGAAATCCACCTGCGAATTAATCATCGTCGTCAACAAGCTTATGTATGTAGACATGCAAGGACAAGAAGATCAATGAGTAGTAGTAGTTGACATTGTGTTTCTCTGCCAGTGAGAAGATCTCCTCGAAGGTGTCGAATGAGTCGGATCGGCGTAGCTCGTCCTTCTCTAGGTAGCCGAGGTGGCAATCGGTCGCCACCAATATCCGCAGCGTGCTGCTTCCTCCAGCTTCTCCGGCTGCCTTCCTGAAGAACACCCACGCATGCACCAGCTAACATCGTATTAGTACAAGTAGGTTGCAGGTTGGAATATTTGCGGAAATATACAGCAGATGTACAGCTGCCAACGCATATGCATTTAGGGTCTATTTGGGAAGAAAATGATGTTTCCTAGTCAAAATAGTTTTCTCTTTTGTCAAATTTAACTTTATAAATTTTGACCAACCGTATAGAAACATTTATATTGTCAACATCTATAATATCAAATCAATATTAGTAGATTCAGCCTGAAATATACTTTCATATGATATAGTATATCCAGTGTGTTGTAAATGTTCATAATGTTTCAATAAACTTGGTCAAAATTTACAAGGTTATTTTCCGTCATATATATTTGGTATTAGTATTGTACATGTTCTTTTTTTTTCTATAAGCTTGGTCAAACATTAAAAAGTTTGACTTATGACAAATCTAATATTCCTATAGTTCAAACATGCCCTTAAAATGAATACTAGCATCTTTATATTTGGGGAGAAAAAGATGGGACAACAAAGGAAACTCCTTTTAGCTACTGGTTGCCTCGCAAAGTTTTGTGAAATGGAAGTGTGTCTAGGATTTCTGCCTTGGAAAAAATAAATAATGATTTTAGACCCATGGAGAAACAATCCACGAACACGGGGCTTATCTGATGTCAAATTAAGCTTTATCAATTGAGTCCGAAGAAAGTCCCAATGACTGATATTCGCAATCCAAAGAAAAACAATCATATAAACCAACAAGCATATAAAAAATTAAATCAAGATAAATGACGGGCAACAAATTTTAAATGAAAAATTGTTCCTACCACAGGCACAGAACAACGATCTCACTATATCAAAAGAAGTGTTTAAAACAAAAAGGATGTACAATGATTCATCAACTCATGTTGAGACGATCTCACTATATCGAGATAAGAGGTGCTTGCACGACGGTTGAAGAAACAAAAACCTAATCCGGCCTCTAGCTAAATCGGACTGTACACAATAATAATACTCTATCATCCTCTCCCACCGACACCATTGAAACGGAGAAAATGGCATAGTACCACCAGGTGACACCGGTGAAAACTGATAAAATGCGAATCGAAGCTAGCCAAAGGATGATAAGGGTGTGTGATATGTTCCTTCCCACAAGAGTTTGAGAATCCACGCACGGTGTCATTTCTTTATCATTTGGAATTTATTTTTATTATAGGGATAATTAAATTTTACCAATGATATAATTGTAGCTTATAATTTAGGACAGTAAATTGAGCAACTTCCCATCCCTCTTACGTCTTGATCCCCCTGGGCCGTCCAATTTCATGATTCGGTCGTTCTTGGCCGTTGGATCGCCTCTGAATGATGTCGTAAGTGCAGCTATTCTAGTAGAAAAATCGCATGCTGCTCGTTGATTCAAGTTACGGGTCCACAAAGATTCAATAGACTACAATTGGTACCCATCCACCTTGCGAC